GATAGATCATATCTTGGGTGACAAATCAAGCCTTGGTAAATTTAAGAAAATTGAAATTGTATCAAGTATCTTTTCCGACCACAACGCTGTGAGACTAGATATCAATTGCAGGAAAAGATCTGTAAAAAATACAAACACATGGAGGCTAAACAATACACTACTTAATAACGAAGTGATCACTGAAGAAATCAAAGAGGAAATAAAAAAATACTTAGAAACAAATGACAATGGAGACACGACAACCCAAAACCTATGGGATGCAGCAAAAGCAGTTCTAAGAGGGAAGTTTACAGCAATACAATTCTACCTTAAGAAACAGGAAACATCTCAAATAAACAACCTAACCTTGCACCTAAAGCAATTAAAGAAAGAAGAACAAAAAAACCCCAAAGTTAGCAGAAGGAAAGAAATCATAAAGATCAGACCAGAAATAAATGAAATAGAAATGAAGGACACGATTGCAAAGATCAATAAAACTAAAATCTGATTCTTTGAGAAGATAAACAAAATTGATAAACCATTAGCCAGACTCATCAAGAAAAAAATGGAGAAGACTCAAATCAGTAGAATTAGAAATGAAAAAGGAGAAGTAACAACTGACACTGCAGAAATACAAAGGATCATGAGAGATTACTACAAGCAACTCTATGCCAATAAAATGGACAACCTGGAAGAAATGGACAAATTCTTAGAAATGTACAAACTGCCAAGACTGGTTCAGGAAGAAATAGAAAATATGAACAGACCAATCACAAGCACTGAAATTGAGACTGTGATTAAAAATCTTCCAACAAACAAAAGCCCAGGACCAGATGGCTTTACCGGTGAATTCTATCAAACATTTAGAGAAGAGCTAACACCTATCCTTCTCAAACACTTCCAAAATATAGCAGAGGGAGGAACACCCCCAAACTCATTCTACGAGGCCACCATCAACCTGATACCAACACCAGACAGAGATATCACAAAGAAAGAAAACTACAGGCCAATATCACTGATGAACATAGATGCAAAAATCCTCAACAAAATACTAGCAAACAGAATCCAACAGCACATTAAAAGGATCATACACCATGATCAAGTGGGGTTTATTCCAGGAATGCAAGGATTCTTCAGTATATGCAAATTAATCAACGTGATACACCTTTTCAACAAATTGAAGGAGAAAAACCATATGATCATCTCAATAGATGCAGAGAAAGCTTTTGACAAAATTCGACACCGATTTATGATAAAAACTCTGCAGAAAGTAGGCATAGAGGGAACTTTCTTCAACATAATAAAGGCCATATATGACAAACCCACAGCCAACATCGTCCTCAGTGGTGAGAAACTGAAACCATTTCCGCTAAGATCAGGAGCAAGACAAGGTTGCCCACTCTCACCACTCTTATTCAACATACTTTTGGAAGTTTTAGCCACAGCAATCAGAGAAGAAAAAGAAATAAAAGGAATCCAAATCAGAAAAGAAGAAGTAAAGCTGTCACTGTTTGCAGATGACATGATACTATCATAGAGAATCCCAAAGATGCTACCAGAAAACTACTAGAGTTAATCAATGAATTTGGTAAAGTAGCAGGATACAAAATTAATGTGCATAAATCTCTGGCATTCCTATACACTAATGATGAAAAATCTGAAAATGAAATCAAGAAAACACTCCCATTTACCATTGCAACAAAAAGAATAAAATATCTAGGAATAAACCTACTTAAGGAGACAAAAGACCTGTATGCAGAAAATTATAAGACACTGATGAAAAAAATGAAAGATGATACAGATAGATGGAGAGATATACCATGTTCTTGGATTGGAAGAATCAACATTGTGAAAATGACTCTACTACCCAAAGCAATCTACAGATTCAATGCAATCCCTATCAAACTACCACTGACATTTCTCACGGAACTAGAACAAAAAATTTCACAATTTGTATGGAAACACAAAAGACCCCGAATAGCCAAAGCAATCTTGAGAACGAAAAACGGAGCTGGAGGAATCAGGCTCCCTGACTTCAGACTATACTACAAAGCTACAGTAATCAAGACAGTATGGTACTGGCACAAAAACAGAAAGATAGATCAATGAAACAGGATAGAAAGCCCAGAGATAAGCCCACACACATATGGTCACCTTATCTTTGATAAAGGAGGCAAGAATATACAGTGGAGAAAAGGCAGCCTCTTCAATAAGTGGTGCTGGGAGAACTGGACAGGTACATGTGAAAGTATGAGATTAGAACACTCCCTAACACCATACACAAAAATAAGCTCAAAATGGATTAAAGATCTGTATGTGAGACCAGAAACTATCAAACTCTTAGAGGAAAACATAGGCAGAACACTCTATGACATAAATCACAGCAAGATCCTTTTTGACCCACCTCCTAGAGAAATGGAAATAAAAACAAAAATAAACAAATGAGACCTAATGAAACTTAAAAGCTTTTGCACAGCAAAGGAAACCATAAACAAGGCCAAAAGACAACCTTCAGAGTGGGAGAAAATATTTGCAAACGAAGCAACTGACAAAGGATTAATCTCCAAAATTTACAAGCAGCTCATGCAGCTCAATAACAAAAAAACAAACAACGCAATCCAAAAATGGGTAGAAGACCTAAATAGACATTTCTCCAAAGAAGATATACAGACTGCCAACAAACATATGAAAGAATGCTCAACATCATTAATCATTAGAGAAATGCAAATCAAAACTACAACGAGATATCATCTCACACTGGTCAGAATGGCCATCATCAAAAAATCTAGAAACAATAAATGCTGGAGAGGGTGTGGAGAAAAGGGAACACTCTTGCACTGCTGGTGGGAATGTAAATTGATACAGCCACTATGGAGAACAGTTTCGAGATTCCTTAAAAAACTACAAATAGAACTACCATATGACCCAGCAATCCCACTACTGGGCATATACCCTGAGAAAACCATAACTCAAAAAGAGTTATGTACCAAAATGTTCATTGCAGCTCTGTTTACAATAGCCAGGAGATGGCAGCAACCTAAGTGTCCATCATCAGATGAATGGACAAAGAAGATGTGGCACATATATACAATGGAATATTACTCAGCCATAAAAAGAAACGAAATTGAATTTTTTGTAGTGAGGTGGATGGACCTAGAGTCTGTCATGCAGAGAGAAGTAAGTCAGAAAGAGAAAAACAAATACCGTATGCTAACACATATATATGGAATCTAAGGAAAAAAGATGTCATGAAGAACCTAGGGTAAGAGGGGAATAAAGACACAGACCTACTAGAGAATGGACTTGAGGATATGGGGAGGGGGAAGGGTAAGCTGTGACGAAGTGAAAGAGTGGTATGGACATATATACACTACCAAACGTAAAATAGATAGCTAGTGGGAAGCAGCCGCATGGCACAAGGAGATCAGCTCGGTGCTTTGTGACCACCTAGAGGGGTGGGATAGGGAGGGTGGGAGGGAGGGAGACACAAGAGGGAAGAGATATGGGAACATATGTATATGTATAACTGATTCACTTTGTTATAAAGCAGAAACTAACACACCATTGTAAAGCAATTATAGTCCAATAAAGATGTTAAAAAAAAAGATGTTATGATTCATGTCTGGAATGGAATTCAAAACAGGTACCTATTCTACTTGAAAATTTCATTCCTACAACTTAATTTGGGAATAAGTGGTCAGAATTGCCATCTCTCTCCCTCTGTCTCTCTGTCTCTCTGTCTCTCTGTGTCTCTCTCTGTCTCTGTCTCTCTCTGTCTCTCTCTGTCTCTGTCTTTCTCTGTCTCTCTTTATATATATATATATATATATATATATATATTTATATTTATCACATTGACACAGCCACAGTGTGTGTTCTCCTCACCCCAGCCAATCTCTGGGAAGACTGACCTTCTGCTCTCTAGCTAATCAAATTCATGTCCCAGGCAAAGTCCCGCAGTCTATGAGGGCTGCCTAGGCATCCATGAGCTCTTTGAGGTCCAGCCTCCATGTAAGCTATTTTGTATCCCAGCAACAAGCAGTCAGGTACCTAACTGGCATTCAGTAGAAGTGTAGGGAAATGAGGAACTTTCTCTAGTCTCCTGTAATCACTCCCCTGCTTAACTCTAGTGTACTTGGTGTCGGTACCACTCATTTAAACACTAATGTACCTCTGACATTGTTCATTAGCCTCTTTAAGACTGATTGTTTTATCCTTCCCATCCAGGTTGCCAGTTCCTTGAGGAGAAGGATAGTGCTATATTTTTTTCTCCATATTTCTCTCTAATGCTTAGTACAGAGATGGTGCTCATAAATATTGTTGATTTAAACACGGTTCCTTTTTGCTTGACAGCAGTTTCTGTTGGAAACCACTTTAGAGAACTGATTGTGCAGAAGGCACAGTTTTATTGTAAGTACATCTATTAAAAAAACTGTCTGACTTCTATGCATTTCAAACGGAGAGAGAAATTGTTATCAGCCAGTTGGTGCTTAGTTTGGTTCAACCACATTTACTGAGGAGTTGCTTTGCACCTGCTACTAAACCAGGCAATGTTCCTGCCTCACAGGAACATTCCGAGATGACAGGAGGTGTCTTGCTGCCTACCCTTGCCCTGGGGATAATGCTTGTCCTCACCAATGGGTCATAGATGACCAGCGGGCAGTGTACACAGTTCCAGCCACCTGGCCTGGACCTTCCTGGATGGTGACTTGGACCTGCAGCTTACCTAGTGCAGACCCCTTCTGGGTGGTGCCAAATTGCTGCCTCCTCGCCCATCCTTCACCCTCCTTTGGGAGCCAGAAGAGATTTGGCAGTGAGTTAGGTGACTTGACTCTGAAAAGTCTGCACTGTGTCTTTTCAGTAAACTTCAAAGTTATTGGCTTAAGAAGTAATGTGCAAAGGGGAAATAAACGCTGGTAAGGCTAATAACAGGGATCTCAAGCTGTGTTTTAACAAACCAGTCACAGAGTATTCACGTGTTCATTCACTGGCATGTTCCGTGGCAGGAGCACCCCCATCCTGCCTTCCCCCGGTTCCAACTGTTGTGCCGCCGCGGGATTTGGTCTGAGCCTGGGCAGAGCCCCCCTTTAAGAGCAGCTCTCCAGCTTCTATCACAGCAAGAGTCTGGTGGAAGTGATTCTTGCCTTCGCGTCGCACACAAAGGCGAGGAGCTCTTTAAAGGGACCTTCCTGCTCCTGCATGCAGCTGCTAACCTGTGTTGGTGCGGACACAATGACCCAGGCTTCCGCCTGAAAATGAGTGGGGAGGGGTCTTGAGGAGCCCCCACGACCTCCCGGAGTGGGGCAGGGAGGGAGCTGACAGCCGGAGTGGCTGGAGACCACCGGTCCCCAGGGAGCGGCTTGCGATTAGCTGCTTCTTGGGATGCTCAGCGCGCCAGTAGAGCATCCTGCCTGTGGTCCAGAGGGTGCTGGCGGCGCATCTTGCGGTATGCCTGCGTGGATTTGAGCCATCGCCCAGAGGCGAACCCGCATTCAGGCACCGCGGACGGGCTCCTGGCAGGGCTGCGTTCAGTCAGCACAAATGCTTAGCTCCAGGCGTCTGCCCAAGCCTCCCGACATGGATTTGGCTGTTTAATCAACCGAGATTACTGCCCGGGAAGATTTGCCAGTCTGATCCGCGCTCCAGCTGCTGTGACAACTTCAGGGCTAGCTGTTTACTTCTCTCGGTGCCTGGGACTCTGTCCTGCACCGCAGTCACTGCTGCCACTTTCCCTGGCTCTGAAGTCAGCTGCAAGGACTCCCCGGCCCCGAGGAAGGGGGAGGAAGGAGGGGTTAAAAGACAAGCAGACCCTCCCAACTGCTCGACCTCTCTTGACTGCTTGTGTTCCGGCGTTCTGAGAGGGACCGTGCACTGCCCGGGGAAGCAATGCAAGTCTCCATAGCCTGCACAGAGCATAATTTGAAGAGTCGGAATGGCGAGGAGCGACTTCTGAGCAAGCAGAGCTCCACCGCCCCCAATGTGGTGAACGCAGCCCGGGCCAAATTCCGCACGGTCGCTATCATCGCACGCAGCCTGGGGACCTTCACCCCTCAGCATCACATCTCTCTCAAAGAGTCCACCGCAAAGCAGACTGGCATGAAATATAGGTATGGATGTAAGATTCTCTCTCTCCCGGGTTTCCGTGTTCTATACAGGTGCAGTGGAGACAGTTCAGCGGTTTTGAAAAGTGACTTACTCATTGGTGGGCTGCTTAATTAAGAATTCTCAGGTGTCTTTAAAATAGCTCCTTAGGAAAACCCAAGGTGGTTGTGTTGTGTTGTGTATGTATAGGATTTAAAAACTGTGGCCCATTTTGTCTATTTTAAAGTGTTATGAATACCTTAGGAGCCATATGACTTCCAGTCTGCAGAGAATAACACAGCTGCTGGAAACTGGTATTGAGATCAGGGCAGCTTTTCAAGAGCAAATGTGCTTGTCCTATTTTATGGTATAGACTGTAGTTTCTGTGATTATACTATTAAAAATAGTTTCTATCTAGTACTGTATAATTTATCTTTTGAAAGCCCAAGGGAACAAATGGTATGAAAGCTTTTAAGGAAGTTTTGTTGCAGGGAAGAAACACCTATAATGGTAAGTTAGTTTGAACACTGACATACTTAAACCTAAATTACTGCTTGAAATACAATGCAGACCTTGTTGTGAAATATGGAGAAAAAGTCAATTGTTGTAATACCGCTGGTTTCTTCATACATTTTTAAGCTCCCTCTTCCTCTATGTTGCTTTCTAGAGTTGGAAATCTTCCTGGTAATGGTTGATATTCTCTTTAATAGGGAATGACTGAAATTCGATAAGTAGAAAATTCCATTATTCAATTCTGTGACTCCTGCCTCCTTATTGTATCTGCTTTGTGCTGAGTCTTCCTGACTTTATTTCTTTAAAACTACTGTGCTTCTGGTCTCTAAAGGTCTTTGCGTATGTAGAGAAGAGCTTATGGTGCATCTCCCAAAGGCTTTGGTGACTCTGGTTTGCAGATATGACTTTGTCCATTATTTATATTTAACTATTCCTCATCTTTGTTAGGAACCAGGTTTTAGGATATAAGGAACTTAATGCAATTAAAATAAGGCACACCTAAGACTATGTTTCCCATGTGAGGTTTCTGAAATAAGCATTCAAACCAATTTCTATAAAAGTTGTCCTTGAAAAAGTTTCTTTGCAGAGTCAAGAGGAAACTTTAACAGGAAATCTTCTCATTGAAAAACACCAAGCACTATTGTTTTGGTATATTTTTGAGCCATTAAGAAAGAAAGTCATGAATGGGGTGGATGGACCCACTAAAAATTATAGCTAAAGCTCTTTGCCCCAACTGCAGTACGATGCAAGCAGCTGACTCCAGGCAATTCTTTGAAGTGTTATCAGTGTGAGAACCTCTGCTTTTCTTGATATTTCCATGGTGGAGAATGGGACCCCATGACAGGTTGGTAACTAGGACTGCAGTCTCGAGTGCATTGGCATTTTCTATTGCTGCTTCTGTGGCACACACCCAGCCCCTGCCCCGTGGCCATGGCGTTGCTCTGCATGCAGTTCAGCTGGCCAGATGGAGATGGAGAGGAGCTGCTGCCTTCCCGGGCAGCGCCCCTGGGAATGAGACACTCAGGGTTAAGGCAGATCGCAGAGGTGGTTTGAACTGTGGCCTCCAGCAGCACCTTGAGCTTTCTTTTTGTAAACCAGAAGGAATAAAAAGTAACACCCTTAATTTCTTGTGGCAGAGTTTCATACTTGCTTGTGGATCAGTGTATTGGAAGAGTTTGGTCTTATAAAGGCAGGAGATTTCCATTAAGTTTTTTCTGGTAATACAGCTCAGCTCAGATTAGATGGTAATTATCTCTCTTTACCAAAAGCTCAGTGTGTAAGATTCACTTGGGCATCTTTCATTACTGACAACTAAAGACAGCTCTTTTCTGACAAAAAGCTAGCCATCTGCAGTCTTCAGGATAACTTGAGTTATTTGTTGTTTATGGTGACTGGACAAGTTACCTTGTTTCCACTCCCCCTCTTATTCTGAATTGTTCCATTGATGACAGGCCGGTGGCTTTGTGTGTTTGTGTAAGTGTGACTTAACCCCTTTCTCTTTCAACTTCAAATTCTACTTAGAGTGACCTTTAGGAAAGAGATTAGGAGGTTATACCAAATGTACACTAAGACTTTCTTAGGGTTGGAGAAAGAAAGAGAGAAAGACAGACGTGGGAGGGAGAGAGACTAACTAATACACTTTATAAAAATGGCAGAAATATTTTTATGAGCTGAGTTATCTTTTTCTTTGACACTGATGTCACTAAAATATAATGTGCATGTAGGGACTATTTATTAATGATAACAAATAGCAAAACATAAAAAATAATGCCATCATGTTGGGGAGGTAATTGGCTTGGGTAAATAATCAGGAGAATGCCTGAAGGAACTAAAATCAGTGGCTAATTGTGTTTACAATAATATTCTCATCCTTGAAAATGATTTCTGTACGCATAACTTAATCTGGGATCCATGAATCCTATAGAAAATAAAAAATATAGTCTTTCTGTGTGTATTTTTGAGGAGAGGGTTCATAGCTTTGGTCAGAATTTTAAAAGTGTCTACCACTGAATAATGGTGAAAAAACAGTGTTGTGGAGTGAAGAGGCATTCATTTAGTCAATAAATATTTACTGAACACCTGTTCTGTATCAGGAACCCTATTAAAACTGGGTACAAAAAGGTGCAGAAACCAGACAATGTTTGGGGCTTGCATTCTTGGGAAAACAGACCATGAATAAGAAAACACACAAATACATAATAATTATCTACTATGAGATATTCTTATGAAAGTCATATTTTGGGGGGTCATAGTCATAGCTCAGCCAACCTGTTTGTCCATTTTGAGGTTACCATCTTTTTTTCAGTTCCAGAGTTATGGTTGCATCTTGGGGCATGAGTCATTGTGCCCATATCTGCCACCTATTTGCCATCCCAAGGACTTTGTTCAGGTTCCATCCTTGCTGTAGGGTGCTACCTGGCCATTGAGGACCTACTTATAACCCTGATAAATGAGTAGAACGCCTTCTACTCATTTAATACCTTATGATTTTTAAAGCACAGCTCTCATATCATAGCCTGTAATTACCATCCATTAATCAGGAACTCATGAACTTGGGATTTTAGAAAAAATTAATATACACTTGTATGGAGTATCTGAATTCTGCAAGAATAAAATACTCAAAGCCACTATTACCATCACATCAGCATTGTGCAAGAATCTTGCATAAAATTAACTATTGTTTCAAGGCTGAGGATGAGAAAAAAAAAATCCCCTAGAACAATCTGCTATTCAAATGTCACTGTCAGAGCAAGAGAACAAGATTCCACCTACCATTTATCTTGGGGACTATCTTGTGTGTAAATAACACAGGACTATTATGTTTCTTATACTTGTGCCTTGTTAATACATGAGAGGTCCTTTATTTTAGTTTTGCATATATTTTTAATATTAGAGTTCATCATACCGTGTTAGAGTTTGTTGTATACTCTGCGACCATATATGATAGATGTATACATGATATATATATACATGATAGACATCACATAAATGTAAGTACATATGTGAACTTTTTATCCTAAGAAAGCCAAATCACTCAGAACACAAGTTAAGCCAGATTTGTTTGGTTGTTTTTGCTTGTTTGATGGGTGTTTTTTTAAAATAACTTTTTAGAATGATCTAGCTACTAGTGTTGGACATGATCTCAGAGCTTTTGATATTCAGAATTGAGCACATTTGTACTGAGCTACTCCCCTATTCTAAAATTGTTACTTTAGTTCCAGAACAAGTTGAATATCAATGAACCCAATTTCATGAAGAAAAATTTTATCTGTAACATATGCATTGTATCAATATAACCTTGTGTTATATAGTTGCATAAAACATGCTTTGAAATTCTTAAGAGAATTATTTACAAAAAGGAAACTGAGCAGTAATCTTTAACTCCACTAGAAAACTTCTCTTTTTTTTTTGGAGTTAATACACTTACCACTTTTGTCATCATTAAATTTTTTTATTCAAATAATTATAGATCACAGGAATACACACACACAAAAAAAATGTACAAGGAATTTTGGCGTACCCTCAATCATGTTTTCTCCACTGGGAATATCTTATATAACTATAGCGCAACATCAAATCTAGTAGACTGACATTGGTACAATCCACAGAATTTATTCAGATTTTACCAGTTATACATGTATTCATGTGTGTGTATGTTTCTATGTCTATGTAATTTTACCACATATAGAAGTTTGTGTAACTACCACCACAATGAAATATTAGAATTGCTTCATCACCACAAGGCTCCCTCATACTACCTCTTTATAGCCACATCCACGTACTCCTCCCCAGTCCCTAATCCTCAGCAACTAATCTCTGATCCATCTCTATAATTTGTTTCAAGAACATTATACAAATGGGATCATACAGTTTATCATATTTTGGGAATTGGCTTTTTTCCATTCTGCATAACTCTCTTGAGACTTATCCAAACTGTGTGTATCAATAGTTCATTCCTCCTTCTTGCTGAGTAGTAGCTCATGGTATGTATGTTTCACAATTTTTTTAACCATTCAGTCACTGAAGAGCAATCAGGTTGTTGTCATCATTAGATAACTTCAGATACAATGTTATCCCCAAATTTCTTCAGTGCCATTCTGTAGCTCAGGGGATAAAACCCAGACTACCTAACATGGTACCTGAAGTCCTTCATGGTCTGGCTTCCATCGTGCTTTACAGTCACCACTCTTTGTTCTTATCTTATCTCTGACCACTTGCTTTATCAGAAGTACCTACTTGAGAGAGGACTCCTTATAGTACACTGGACCTTCTTGGTTTTTTGTGCCTCTGTATCATTTTCCATGCTGGTCCTTCTACCCTGGAATTCTCCTACCTTACTTGAACCGTTAGGCAAACTCCTATGCATCCTCCAAGACCCAACTCTAGCCTAACCTTCTCTGTGAAACCTTCCTTGGCTCCACCCCTTATAGCATTAAATACTTGTTCTTTAGTGCCTCCACTGCATCAGATTCTTACTTCTGATATGGAAATTATTGATTGCATAGTGTTGCTC